GTTTGCGATGTGTGAGTACCATGCTATTCACATAAAAGCTCGTCAACTCCCCCCTCCCCTTCGACCGCCAAAGATATTAGGACAGGGGTAAATAAGTTATCGGGTCTTTAAATGTGTAAGTTATCATTCTATTCACAAAAAAAATACCGGGGGATATTTGATCAATTCCTCAAAGAAAAAGGAAAAAGGAATCAACAGGGAATGGCCAAAAAGTATGATGGGCATTCTTTTGCACAACAAAATAGTTTAGCTGAGCTGGTTAGTGTGTGTTTCACATTAGCTGCTTGGTGTGTGTTCAAATCTCATATTCAGTGCCATTTTTTTGGACTAAAAATGTAACCAGGGTGTGCCAATAGATCTAGCACCCAAAAAAATGACAGATCCAATCCAGAGAAAAAAAATCACGGTAGTCAATTCCATAGTCTCCGAATTCTTCTCACTAAATTCGCCATCAAGTTAGCAGGTCGTTTACATTTAATCTTGAACAAAGAGCCACTATGCTACACATTCACAGTCTGGGCGAAATTGACAACAACAAAGTTTAGGTGAGTTGGTTACTGTGGTGGTGCACATCCAAGAGGTTTGGGGTTCGAATCCTGGCCGCTGGACGAGGCCCGAATCGTATGTGCCTGTCGCTAAATTCCTGCCGGCAGGGATTTAGCTTTTCCGTTAAGAGGATGTTTGTTTGTTTTGTTATTATATGTCCTTTTTTTCACTATTTGGATTTGGCCCAAACGCAAACATTTCACGTAGACATCAGATAGACTATTTCTCAGAGAGAGAGAAAAACACGCACACTTTGTGAGATGCACGCGCATCTCACCCCCTAATCTCAAATCAAAAGAAACGTCGGCATCGGCCGCACCATTTTGGTGAGATGCACGCACACGCACACTATTTTTTTTGCAAAAAGAATATATTAAATCGGCCAGGCCGAGCGGCCGCCATGTGTCCTTCCTCGTCTCCTCCCGTCCTGCCTTCGAACTGAACGAAGCCGAAATGAATCATAAAAGCATATTATGACGAAATCTAAACTAATCAAAAAAGCATATTATGACAGTGGACAACAGCTTATTACGACGGTGAACGGGCAGGGATTTAGCTTTTCCGCTGGACGAGGCCCGAATCGTATGTGTCTGTCGCTAAATTCCTGCCGGCAGGGATTTAGCTTTTCCGTTAAGAGGATGTTTGTTTGTTTTGTTATTATATTTCCTTTTTTTCACTATTTGGATTTGGCCCAAACGCAAACATTTCACGTAGACATCAGATAGACTATTTCTCAGAGAGAGAGAAAAACACGCACACTTTGTGAGATGCACACTATTTTTTTCGCAAAAAGAATATATTAAATCGGCCAGGCCGAGCGGCCGCCATGCGTCCTTCCTCGTCTCCTCCCGTCCTGCCTTCGAACTGAACGAAGCCGAAATGAATCATAAAAGCATATTATGACGAAATCTAAACTAATTGAAAAAGCGTATTATGACAGTGGACAACAGCTTATTACGACGGTGAACGGGCAAAAGCAATAGCCCTTTTAAAAGATGGAGAGAACTCACGTTGGAGTACATGAAGTTTAAGTTTAACTGCGCAATTGATGATTTCCCCATGGTTATACCTTACATCGTAAGATGCCATTGGCAAGCACCACCGGATAAGCAGTGAAACTTTTAACAACATATATGACTTTAAGCAAGCAGGATTTCCACACAAACACCGCGTTATCAGGTGCTGGTCCTACCAATCCACGACAAATGCACTGTTCATGAAAGGTCCCAAGCCAAAGGGAACAAAGGAGTGTCATATACATATGTGCGCAAGAAGGGAGCAACAGTGGGGAAAAGGTTAACATGATTTCTGAGCATAACAGAAGATCATGCCCTTGGTTAAAAGTACACAGTAGATCAGCAGCATCTACTGATCCAGCAATGAGACTACTGTTCCATCAACCAAAGGTAGATCCGATCATGATGATTGCTCTAGAATTCAGTGTCGAAGCAAGATGCCATCACTTTCGAAACAACTGATCGTGCAAAGGGTATATAGCTTAGACTGTACCTGCACATAACAACAACTGTAACTTCAGAATTGCTGCCCCATCACTCATGCTCTTGGGATGCTAATTTATGTAGTTGCACCAATTATTTATCAATTTATGTAGTTGCACCAATTATTTATCTAAAAATGTTGCCCATTTTATGTGATATGATGAGACATCACATGGGATAATGTTTTTATCCATGCATCTACGGACTTGCACTGATATCTCAATCAAGCTCTCATGTTAAAGTGGCGTTGGCTGGAGAAAGTTGGGCAAGACAAGCCCTGGGCAGGCCTTCAGATTCAGTTACAGCTGGAAACGGATGATTTGTTCGCGGCGCCTACGAGCTGCACTATGAAGAATGACATCACCTTCGCTTCTGGACTGACAGATGGATTCACAGGGTTAGTGTGGCCTAGGTTGTGCTGGCCTTGCTTCAGTTTGTCTGGCCTGCTGTGTTACGACGCCTAGTGGCGGATGCCCTTCCTGAGGCAGATTGGGCGAGGGATCTCAGGGAAAGCCTATCTGTGCCGGCGGTTGCATACAGCTGTGGAGGGCCCTGCTTGATTTTGAGCTGGGACCTGGGAGTGGATCCTAGCGAGTTCAGGTGGCGACTTTAGCCCGACGGCAAGTTATCTGCTCGTTCCACTTAGTCTTTTCTTGCTCGGTCGAGAAATTTGCCCCCTGTGAAACGGAGCTTTGGTCTTCTTGGGCTTCTCTTGGGATTAAAATCTTTGTATGGCTTGCGCTGCATAATCAGTTGTGGACTGCGGACAGACTTGCTCAGCGTCAGTTGCAACACCCGCCACTTTGTGTTCTCTGCTGTCAGGAGGAAACTGCTAACCACCTGCTTCTGAGGTGCCCTTCCTTGCGGGAGATCTGGTATAATGTGCTGCTCCCCTTACGGTTGCACAGGTTCAGGCCGGACAATCTGGCTTCGCTAACAAACTGGTGGCCGCCCTGCAGTCATGCTGTTCCAGCGCGCAACCGCAGGGAGGTGGACGCTCTGATTTGTCTGACTCTCCGGCTCCTCTAGCTCGAAAGGAACAGCTATGTCTTCGACAAGGTGGCGTCAATGCCCTCGCTGGTCATCAAGCAGATTAGGGAGGAATTTCCTTTGTGGAAGATTTGCTAGATCATGTGGATTTGTAGGGAATGTGAGTTAGCACTTTCTTTGCCCATGGCGGAGTGCTTTCTCCTGTGGTTGCACCCCTGTATATAACTGATGTAACGCTCTACCTTTCTTTGTACAAAAGACACGAAGCTTGCATTTCTTAAAAAAATAATCTCTTTGGGTGTCTGCTTAGCTGTGGAATATTTTTAATAGAAAAATAGCACGAATATTGGTTAATTTGAAAGTAATCATCCAGTGAGTTTTTCTTACACATGTTGGACCTAGGAGAAATTATGAGTGTGCAGTTGGGTCAACATTGAACAGAACTCATTGCTAAAAATCAAACTTTAAAAGATATTAAACTTACCAGATAAGGGCACCAAATTCCAAGACGATGGCAAGTAGAGTCAACAGCTTACTGTGAACCTGTTTGGAGTAGAAAAGACAGATATTTGGTTGGTTATAGAACTAACACATAAACCTGGCAGAAAATTTATGAAATATGCCAGATTTCTCTAATCATTTTACTTACTAAGAGAGCGCAGAATAGAGAAATTATGATGCTTGCAATGTATATAGCAGTGGCATATATACGGACAGGATCAAGCATCATATCAAACTGTCTCTTGGGACCTATAAGAAACGCTGTACTGTCAAACAAATGATCCCAGCATTAGCTGACATGAGGAAAAACTTTGATACATAAACGATAATAATCTAGTTAAGGAAGGTGAATGAACATTACAGCACATATGAAATAAACAGCAAGGTAGTTCCTTGGATACGTCAGTACTGAGTACATGAGGCGCGATTTCAATAAGTACTAGGCACGAGGAGGAGGTTAGCCTTGATGGGCAGGCAGTACCTCAGAAGGACAGTAGGATACCTTTTGATATTTGAGAACAATTGTGACGACCCGAGACCGACGCTCCAGATGCCGTCCAGTTATTTCGTTGCCGATGTGTGTTTATTTGTTTGTTGCATTTCATCATCGCATCATCTGCATTGCATCGGCACTCCGTTGCCGTCATTGTTTTCAAACTTGCATCTGTTCATAGTGCCGCTTCTCTCTATTGCCTTCATTGACTGTTCGAGACCAACCACACTTCCACGCTACCGCCTGACCTCTCTACACAGCCACCGACCACCTTCGCAACCTAGTCCGAAAACTTCTCCCGGACCCGACCCGGGCAGTCATGACCGTTGGATCCGGATCATCCCCAAACATCCCTAAATCATCATCGGTTTCTCGTTGGACTCTCCTAACCCATTTATTCCAGACCGCCTGATCGCGATCGAAGGATCCAGATCATCCCCTTTTCGTATATATATAGTCCCATAGCCCATCTTTAGACCCAAACCCTAAAATCTAGGACATCTGTCCCCGCCGCCGCCGCCACACTCAAATCTCACCTCGGGATCCTCCCAATTCCCATTCCACCAACCAGATGCGGCGCCCGATCCAAAAATCTCCTCGGCCTCCACCACACATCCATCTACCCACTGAGCAGCCGCGTTGCAACCTCGTCGCCGGCCAGCGTCAGGCCAGCCACTGCCGCCCTCTCCTTCCCCCTTGCCTTCTCTCTCTCACGCGACCCTTCCTCTCTCTCTCGCAAAGACCACTGATGCCGTCGACCTCGAGCTGCCGTGGCCTCTGCCACGCCATGGATCTCCGGCGCCTGCTCCTGCATCAAGCAGGGGAGCGAGGAGTACGAAGCCCCAGCACCCGTCGCCGCCGTCCTGCTACCTCCACCGCCCAGATCCGTGCCTCCGTCCGCCACCATCTCCTTCCTGGAGCCCCGCGCCGAGCTCCTCGTCCGCCACCACCTTCAACCAACGCCGCTGCAGCCGCTCCTTGACGCCCGCGCCGGCCGCTCGCGAAGGCCACGACCAGACCGGCCGCTTCCCGCGCCTGCCGGACCCCCTTTGTCGCGCCGTGCTCCTTCCCCGAGCTCCTCCTCGTCGTCCCAGCAGTAGCACCGAGCCACCGGCGAGCAGCGGCGGCTCCCTCCTCCCTGACCGCGGCCGTGCCGCGACCATCGTCGACGAACCCAGCAGCAATGTCGTCGTTCCTCCTCCGCAACCCCGAGCTCCCCGCGCGAGCCCCTGCTTCCTCGCGTTCCGTCACCGTACCGCTCGTCCCAGCAGAGCCCCGACCTTCCCGTTCCCTTCCCCGATTCGCTTCTCTCTCTGAACCGCCCTCTGTTTTTCTTTGGGCAGCAGCACCGTCAGAGCTTCATGGTATCCGCCGCATTCAACCGCTGCCCACGTCCCAATCCGAGTCCTCCACGCCAGGTCCTCCGGCCCCGCAGCGACGCCACGCCGGAGCCGCGCCATCCCACCGCTCGCCGGAGTCCCACGCGCCCCTGCGTCGTCACTGCCTTCTAACGAGCACGAGCTCGATCCCCTGCCTCCATGCATCGAAGGAACCAGGCGCGTTTGACTGCGCCTGGACCGGCCTCGCGTAGGCCTAGCGCCACCTCTTCCTTCCATCCAGCCTGCCTGCTGCAGCCCACCGAACCGGCCCAGTTGATGTTGGCCCTTGATGAGCCACCACAGACCCAGCGCCCAGTGCACTGTTCAGATTCGGCCCATTTTTTTCAGATCTGCGATTTTAGCATTATCCAGAGTTTACCAGATTTGCAGAAAACCCCCTAGACTTCATGCATTTAATTACTCCACAACCATGCATCGGTTAAAAATGATTTAAATATGAAAAATGCTTAGAATTTTGTCTAGTTTCATAATATGCCACTTTCATCCATGTTTAAAATGTTGTTTGATTAAATTTGCTCAAATGCCATGCTAAAATGATTTATCTAATAACTAAATAAGTAGCTCCAAATTTAATAAATTTTATATGTAAATGGGGCAGAAAAATGCATAGTTTAACATGGTGCACTTTCTTTGCATGTTTAACTACTCTAAAATATGGTTTAGGGCAGAACAGTACCAAATCATGATATGTATATGGGGATTTTCCGAAATTGTTGTTTGTTGTTCCGGCCTCATTTAAACTTGCCTAGATAGGTAATTTTCATATGCTTCACCCCTTGCCATGTTTAATAACATTTAATATTGTTGGGTACATAAACGAGAGAGAACTAAATAATTGATGTGGTGTTCCGTCAATATGCAACACTTTGCCATGACATGCCTCTTTAAACCGGACATGCATCATACTTGATTGTGCATCATGCCATGTTTATGCTCGTTGGTTTACCATGTTGTTTGCTCCTTTCGGGTGTTGCTTCTTCTTGTTAGTTCCGGTAACGTCGCGTTTGTGAGGATTCGTTCGACTACGTCCGTTTGTCTTCTTCATGGACTCGTTCTTCTTCCTCGCAGGATCTCGGGCAAGACGACCATACCCTTGATATCACTTCTATCTTTGTTTGCTAGTTGTTCGCTCTATCACTATGTCGCGCTACCTACCACTTGTTTATCATGCCTCCCATATTGCCATGTCAAGCCTCTAACCCACATTCCTAGCAAACCGTTGTTTGGCTACGTTACCGCTTTTGCTCAGCCCCTCTTATAGCGTTGTTAGTTGCAGGTGAAGTTGAAGATTGTTCCATGTTGGAACATGGAGATGTTGGGATATCATATTATCTCTTATTTAATTAATGCATCTATATACTTGGTAAAGGGTGGAAGGCTCGGCCTTATGCCTGGTGTTTTCGCCCTAGTTTCCGTCATACCGGTGTTATGTTCCTCGATTTTGCGTCCCTAACACGATGAGGGGTATGGAACCCTCTTGACAGTTCGCTTTGAATAAAACTCCTCCAGCAAGGCCCAACCTTGGTTTTACATTTGCCTAACAACCTATAAATTTCCCTTAGGGTTGCAAACCCGAGGGTCAATCTTTATTTTAACCCCACGGGCCAATGCTCCTCTGAGTGTTGGTCCAACCTGGGCGATGTCCGGCGCCCCCTGGGCAACCAGGGTCTATGCCAACCCGACGTCTTGCCCATCCGGTGTGCCCAGAGAACGAGATACGTGCAACTCCTATCAGGATTTGTCGGCACATCGGGCGGTCTTGCTGGACTTGTTTTACCATTGTCGAAATGTCTTGTGCACCGGGATTCCGAGTCTAATCGGAAGGTCCCGCGATGGAGGATTGTCTCCGCGGATCGTGAGCTTGTCATGGGCTAAGTTGGGACACCCTTGCAGGGTATAAACTTTCGAGAGTCGTGCCCGCAGTTATGTGGCAGATGGGAATTTGTTAATATCTAGTTGTAGAGAACTTGACACTTGACTTAATTAAAATGAATCAACCACGTGTGTAGCCGTGATGGTCTCTTTTCGGCGGAGTCCGGGAAGTGAACACGGTCTTGTGTTATGCTTGAACGTAAGCAGTTTCAGGATCACTTCTTGATCACTTATAGCTTTTCGACCGTTGCGTAGCTTCTCATCTTACTCTTATTTGCGTAGGTTAGCCACCATAATTGCTTAGCGCTTGCTGCTGCTCCACCTCATTACCTTATCCAACCCATAAGCTTAAATAGTCTTGATCTCGCGGGAGTGAGATTGGTGAGTCCTCGTGACTCACGGATACTTCCAAACAGTTGCAGGTGCCGATGATACCAGTGCAGGTGACGCAACCGAGCTCAAGTGGGAGCTCGATGAAGATATTGGTCGTTGTTATGTGTCTTTTCCGGTTGATCAGTAGTGGTGCCCAGTTGGGATGATCGGGGATCTATCATTTAGGGTTGTCTTCTTCTATTTTGGTTCCGTAGTCGGGCCTTGATTGTACTCTGGTTGATGTATGTTTTACTTGTTATTTGTGTGAAGTGGAGATTGTAAGCCAACTCTTTATCCCTTTCTTATTCAATAAATGGGATTGTGTGAAGATTACTCCTCTTGCGACAACACCACCATGCGGTTATGCCTCTAAGTCGTGCCTCGCCACGTGGGAGATATAGCCGCATTGTGGGCGTTACAACAATGCTGCAGAAGGATGGTGATATAGATGAAGATGTGAACCATTGAATCAAAGCCGGATGGATAAAGTGGTGCAAAGCTTCCGGCGTCCTCTGTGACAAAAGAGTGCCACAAAAGCTAAAAGGCAGGTTCTATGGGACGGCAGCGATGTTGTATGGCGCAGAATGTTGGCCAACTAAAAGGCGACATGTCCAATAGTTAGGTGTAGTAGAGATGTGCATGCTGAGATGGATATGTGGCCACACAAGGATCAGGTCCGGAATGATGATATACGTGATAAAGTTGGGTAGCACCAATGAAAGAGAAGCTTGTCCAACATCGCCTGAGATGGTTTGGGCATATACACCGCAGACCTCTAAGAAACGCCGGTGCATAGAGGAACGATAAAGCTTGCTGATAATGTCAAGAGAGGTCGAGGTAGATCAAATTTGACATGGGAGGAGTCCGAGACACCCGAAGGACTAGAATATCAACAAAGAACTAGCCATAGACATGGGTGCGTGGAAGGTAGCTATCCATGTGCCAGAACCATGACTAGGTTTTGATATCTTATGGGTTTCAACTCTAGCCTACCCCAACTTGTTTGGGACTAAAAGGCTTTGTTGTTGTTATTTTGTTGTTGTAGTTCCGCGGATATTGAGGTGCTCACAGCCAAATCAAATCAGCACCTTGTAAAGAATATTTGTTCTACTATGCCAAAGTTAGTTTG